TAGCCTGCAGTACCACTGCTCTACCCATATGAGCAGCAAAAAGATGTTTTTAGACCAAATATTACAGATTTGAACAAATACGCACAAAAACGTCAAAATTAGCACAGAAACAGTACTATATAACATTTTAGACACATTCTAGACAGTTTAACAGCTAAAAAAAGTTAATTTTGGGGTAAGTTACTCTTTAAGTGAAAGGAACCCCGTCCACAGAAAATGAGGTGACGTCACATTCAGCTTGCTGTTTACAAACATAAACATGGTTGCTACATGTTAGATGGTCGATTCTGAAGTTGTTGTGCAGTCAGAGCTGGTTAAATAATTATCTGCTCTGCTTGTTTAGTTCAGTGTTTATATTTGAACCTTTGGCTGTAACGCAAATGTTGGGGGAAAAAGAAATATTGTGTGATGTTGTCACAAATGACGCATTGTCATTAAGCCCCGCCTCCAGAAAAGCTGTCCCGTGTTTTGAAGAGGCTAAATTGGCAACTCTACTCTCACTATCAGTCGCACATGTGAACCCAGTGGCGGAAGGCAGTGCAGAGCAACTAATGCAAACCCTAACACTACTGAATTGTTTAATCCCCTGAAACACAGACATAAACTAGAGTATGAGAAAAGCCAGAAAATGCAGATCAATGCCAAGTCAACTACGTGCAAGTGCAATAGACCAGTTTGTCGTTAAAATTGTTACAAATGCACAAAGTGCACCAATCTCAAACATYTTTTGGGATAAATGCTGAGGTTACTATGGAAACCTAATTCAATCAGTACATTTACGCTGTTACATACACAATGTATTTGCGCTGAACTGATTCATGCTCCTTTAGGATCACAAGTATTTTTTATAAATATCTAAGCTATAAATCTGCTTTTTGAGCATATTTAATTTGCACAATTGCAATGGCGTTTTCATAGCAGCCTCAGTGTTTTACTGGTTGAACTGTATGAAAATACGTGTTTTAATATCGGCTGAAGTCAGATGAAAACACCAGTGTTAAAAAAAATGATCTGTGATAAGAAATAATGTCATACAACACCAGAATTCTGGAGTGGGGGTTTATTATGCCTATGGCTGGCAAGTCAAAACCACACACACTGAAAGAAAAACAGGAAATGGATCCGTTTATATACAGAATCTTCAATGCCTGAGTTCGCCCCCTGCTGGCCTACGGCTGAATCACCGGCATTCAGACAAAAGACCTTAATCTAATGGTTTAAAAACGGTTCACTTATGTGTTGTTATGATTCGAACATGTATCTACCCTATTTAATTAACACATAATATAACAAACATTATAAAGGTATTATAAAATAAGGAAACCCTAATACTCTGGTGTTGTTTATAATATCAGAACTGAGCTATAATAACTATAAATTTCTTCAGACCTGTGACCCAGAAGAGCTAAGGCCTTTACGTACTCCCACCGAAATGCTGAAACGGGCTCTCATTGCCACAGTTGAATGATGAAAATTGCGTCATTTGCTTGGGAGTGCTAACACAAGGCCTAACCGTGCTCTGTTTGAAGCATTTTGTGATTGGTCTGAAGTTCATAGGCGTGTCTGTTTTAAGGTTGGGCAATATTGGCAAAAAAAATTAATCATGATTAATTGTGTTATTTAGCCGATAACGATTAATTTGACGTTTAATTCCCTGGAGTCTCCGCCACCCTTCTGTCCTGGTCACATGATCAATTTAGTGGGAAAGATTTGCTCTTTGTAAAAATCTGTTCCAAATTGTGTCGAAATTAAAGACTTCAGGCTATTCATCAAATTTAAAATTGTGTTGACGGATAAATAAATTACAGAACTTTTTTTTTTTTAGAGAGGAGCACTGAGTGGACTGACTGGAGAAATCTCCGGTCAGTCTGCCTGGTGGCATTAATCGTATTAATCGTCAAGTGCCAAAAAATAATCGATTAAAGTTTTTCTGATTTATTGCACACGATATGATTATGCCCAACCCTAGTCTGTTTATGATAAAAGTGCTTGGATGCTGCATTTTGCTTCACCTACTCGTTCCCAGAACTGTTGTAACCAGAAGCAGACATTTATAAGGATTGACAAACGGACAAAAGCACATGAATGGAGATAAAAAAAAAATGATGTTTTGCATGGACGAGTCTATCTGCAGATATGTGTGGAGCATTAACTGGGACCGATTTGTGGACAGAGTGTAGACTCCAGTGGGAAGGAACCCTGTGCAGTGACGTACCGCAGCGGGAGGGGTTTCCCAGGAGCTCGGCATGGTGTGTCTCAGGAACCACAGTTCCTTATGCACATGTGCTTAAATGAATGCTTCGGCTTTGGATGGAATATCCGCTACTAATCATAACTACGAAATGGTTTATCATCCAATAATCGTCATATTAATCATTAGTGGCTAAATGCCACAATTGAATGGACAGCAGCGGAGAATGGAAATGTGGTCAGTTTGTCCTCTTAGCAACATAAATAAGAAATAACTCAAGAAATCCGAGCCAACCCTAACTATAGGATTTATCAAAAGGGAATGTCTTAAATCTAGTCTTAAAAGCAGAGTGTCAGCTTTACAGACAGAAATTGTAAGTTAGCTCCACATGAGAGTAGCTTGATAACTCTAAAGACAGCTCAAATTTCTTTGATCAGTGTAAAAACTAGAACAGTTTTGCTTTTGTGATGCATCATCTAACCTGATATGCTGTAGAGGGACTTAAGTTTCAATCACTTTGCTCTAAAGGGCCCATTGGTCTGATTTGGAATTGAATTTAAAGTAAGATTAACAAACACCAACAAGGCTTGTTAGCATATAGGTCATGTCAGCCATCAACAGACTGTAGATTCTAGTCTGTGGGATTGGATTACTTCAACCCTGGAAACTGTAACTGAATCGCTCCTCATTGTTCCTGGTAAGCAACGGGCACCAGAGACACCAAACTACTGCGAGCACCATAAACTGATTGGTTCGAAGAGCAAAGGAGTTGAGCATAAAGCAC